ACCATTGCCTCATGAGTGTGTCTCATAGGAGGCAGGTCTGTGGTGAGAAACTGAGATAGGAGAGAATGTTGAGGCTGATGAGGCCTGGGCCATGTAGTTAAGCCACATGTTATGAAGGAATTTTCAACAGTCCATGTTACTGATTAATAATATAATCAACTGTCTTCTAAACATTCTCTAGAAGACGAAACCCAGGTTAGTATGTGGAAAACATGCAAAACTCCACACAGACAGTAACCCGAGCTGAGGCTTGAACCCAGGAGCTGTGAGGCTGCAATGCTACCAATGTGACATCATGCTGTCCTTTCTTTCTTTCTTTCCACCTTTCTTTCTTTCAGTGATACTGGTGATCCTTCCAGCGTCAGGTCCCGGGATAGCATCCGGATCCACCACAGCCATGCCCAGGATAAAGTGGTTACAGAAGATGAGTGAATGATAAATAAACAAACAACCAAACCAATAAATACATACTTTCATTTTTATTGTATCATTATAGAGTGTCACATTACACAATGTACTGTGTTTAAAATACTATTCTGAAATATTCATCCATAACACTGACTTCTTGAATTGCTATGTGCGGTAAATGTTCCCCAATATTATTTACAATATTTATGAGGTTGGATATTGATTCAGGTTTGGTAGTACATATTGTAGTATAGATTTCATTTCTCCTCTCTATTCTTGTGAGGAGAAAGGCAATTTTGAAGAGCTTAAAACAATACTATCATCTTTATCTGCATAGATGGCGCTGCCCTCATCTACCCACTCAGTGAATTCTAAAAGCTGGCTTCATCTCAGTCAAATCAAAAACCAAGGCCATACATTCATTCGCCAGTACTGCAGTGCCCACACAAAAGCCTAATCTATCTTTCCGCAGATCTTCTATCGAGTTCGCTGCTTTTTCGGGGAAATTAATTACTTGAAGCACAAAAGTGTGCCTGTGGTCCCTGTGGGATTGTTAAGCAGGCCACATGGTGTTTCAGATGGCTGAATACATTCCTGATGGAGGGGTTGATTGAGAAAAATGAAAAGTGCAATATAATGACACCAGTTCTTTTCATAAAGCCAGAATTTAGTTCTGAGAACCCACACAAATGACAGAGGCTGTTCTTATTGAAGAAATAGTGCTAATGTGCCAGCCATGGCAGCTGGGATGATTTGTCAGCACTTAGACCTGAGCAAGTTTCTGCATATTGCTTACATAAATCCAGACGCTTTGTGTTCATAACATTGTTAAATGTTTGTTTTACACCAAACTAAGTTGTTAGGCTACTGATTTAATGGACACCCATAATGCACCTCTTTTTATAGCTATGGAAAGCTATAATCTAGATTTTTGCCAGTGGTATCATCAGTACAGAAAACTGTGACATTAGTTTGTGACCCTCCCAAATATATTCATAGTAATACCCACAGTAATTATTTCTACGAGGAATTAACTGCTCTTGGCTTAAATGCACAGTAATCTTTGCACTGGAATAAGGTTATAATTTAATGTGCAGGTTCCTGTTGATTTAAAACAGGGACATGCACAAGTCGTCATTTTAAAGATAATTAGAGTGTCCTATATAAAAAAGGGTATAAAACACTTCCCGCTTAGATTTAATTGCTTCCCAAGGCTATATTTTTATGGCATTTGAAATAAGTTTTTTTTTTTGCTCTTTCTTAGCATTTGAACATTTTCTTTTTTCAGCCTTTAAAATGCACCATGACCATATTGTCTTGGAATTAAACTAATTAATGGGGTACAGTGCCTCCATCTTATGAATGCAAGTTTATCATTAAAAGTAAAGGTTTACCAAGTTTAACACGAACACACATACAAAATTTATTTGAAGCACATGAGCAGATAGATTGAGGCATAGTTTTGGTCTATAAGGATGGAATAAAACAATTCGGGGCATGCTCTTATGGGAAATTCATCAGTGCCGGGGTCGTGTGATACGGCCCTATGTGAAGTGAATTTACAGTTACCACCCCAAAATTGATTATTTTCCTACAACAGCATGTCCTGAAGTGCTTTGTTCCTCTTGTACCACATTTGCTAATGCTTACAAATGTTAATTTATTAAAAATATCATACTTTTTAACCTTTAATAGTTACTTTTAATGTGTAACCTAACACTTACATTATAGCCGCTATAAACAGCAATTCCTTCATAAGCCTCTCTTCCTTTTTCTCTTGAAGTTAATAAGACCAAAAAAAAAGTGATGCGTATAATCATATCCATGATTATACATTTTTCTTTGTAAAATTACAACACATTTTTCTAATCTGTTTATTATTGAGCTTAGGTTATGTGGAGTGTCCACCATACAAGTCCCTGTGAATGCGTTGTTACTATAGAAAGAATAATGTATAAGCGTGGGTGCTTTAATATACAGTAAACCTGTAATTTGAATTACTGTCAGAGCTGCAAATTAATCAACACCTTATGACCAATTAAATTTTTAAAAAAAATTCAGCAGCACAGTGGTATAATGTGTAGTAGAGAAGTTTTTTTTTTTTCTTCTGGGAATTATTTAAAAGTAGAACTAAGTATAATGTGTTCCTGGAAAATGAGAACATAATATTTTATTGTTTCTTAGTAGTGTCACATTCTCCTATGCAGATGGGGCAGCATGCCAGAATAACTGCTGTGTCCCTTGGATGCACTAAACCATATTGTTGCTTGGCTTGAGCTGATGTGAGGAGGAGCACACTCTTGCCACTGGCACCAGTTGGCTCAGTGCCCACAGAGTGCCAGGCTACAGGCTCCAGCTTGCTGTCAGTGTGAGTTATAGCTCTGTCACACCAGCCTCTGAAGCACCAGTGCCATGAGATCCTCCAGGCTGAGCTTCCCAAGAGCTTCGTCTGCTAACAGCTTCTGTCCTGTTTCACAATGATTTCAGTGTGCGACCTATATTATTTCTTTATATGATTTGTAGGTAATTTTAGAAGCCTTTTGGGTACTTTTTTTTAATACTGCCTTTAGGTTGTAGGTTGCCTTTTGGCACTGTCTCATTTGAGTGTTCACATATAACTATTCTTGGGAGCTTAACAATTTCTCACAATAATTTTTATACTGGCTTTTTTTTTTTTGCTGCCAGGTGGTTGGATTATATTCTGCCTTGCTTGGGTTAAAATTGTCTTCAGAATGAATAAATGTAGATGTAAATCTGTTCAAACATAATTTTACACAGATGCTAAAAATGATTCTCAGGCTGTGGAAGCTAAATAACCTTCATGAATGTTTTATTTACAGACCTACACCTCTCAAGAAACTGGAAACTGATAACTAAATATGTATACCATGCGCATTGAGCCTGAACCTGAAACACATCCTTCTTCATTCCCTGCCTTAATCAAATGCTATTGATTTCCTTAAGTGAAGCATTGATTTACATGACACCTGCTACTGAAATATTCAGGTTGAAGGGGGCAGATGGACTAGCAGGGGTAAAGGAATCTCCCTGTTTTATTGCTGACAGCAAGGGAAACTGTGAGTCAGAGGCTGTGACTGACAGCTAGTGTTATTCATATCCATGCAGAAGTGCATTAAGAGCCACTGGCAAGGACAACATTGCACAACATTGACTCATAACATTAACCGACTGAGTTCATAATTGCAAAGTAAGAAAAACAATACCGGTGGTACTGTAGGTCTTTTTATATATAAACAAATCAAAATTAGATCTAAAAGTGTTGCCAGCAAGTTAACTTGTAAAATGATCTGAAGTAATATCTAACGTGAGCTACTTGCAAGCAAAATAATTCACTTTTAAATATGAAAGACTTTCAGGACTTGAACAAGAACGAACTTTAGTAGACTGAGTATTGATTTATCTTCATGTACATTTTTTAAAGAATCAAACAGTCAACTACAGAACATTAAAATTAAATACAAACAAATTGTCTTCCTTAAAATTTGTAAAAAAAAAATAAATGAGGCTGCAAATGTAAAATCTTTTTGCCATCCGTCAGCACAGGCTGCAGAAGACGCAAAAGAAATCGGACCATGTGCTGTTAATTGTAAGTTGTGTTGCAGGGTTTTTTTTTTTTTTTTTTCAATTATGCTTCATTCTGAAAAATATAAATAAATAATTCAAAAAGGTTTTGTTTTTTGGTCCATCATGTCCTGAGTTTCAGTCATGAGTCTGGTTCCTCTCAAGGTTTCTGCCTCAAGTCATCTCAGAGAGTCTTTCTTTGTCCCTGTCACCTCTGGCTTACTTATCACCTAAATCTACATCCCGGTTTCTGTAAAGCTGCTTTGTGAGCATGTCTATCTTTAAAAGCACTATACAAAAAAAAAAAGAGAGAGAAAAAAAAATTTAACTGAATGGAAAAGAGACACTTTCAAAAGTCAGGTAATTGATAGAAAAATACATAAGCTCACCTGGGTTATTCAAACACCAAACCCAGTATAACTCAAAAACACTGCACACCCTCACATTACAAAGCTGCATCAGACACTTTTATTATGGAACTCCTTTTTGCTGCCAACACTGCTGCTATACTTATTGCTGCTACACTACAAAATAGTTTACAATTTACAGCCCATGTTCTGTGTATTTACTTATTACTCTGTGTACTTATTGTCCTGTGTATCTATTGTTCTGTCCTGTGTATTTACTGTCCTTGTATCTGAATCTGAATCTGTTGTCCTGTTCTGTGTATTTATTGTCCTGCACTCATCTCACACTGTTGTGTAGTGCACTTTATGTAGTCTTGTACTGTTCTGTGTTGTACCATGGTCCTGGAGGAACGACATTTCATTCTGATGTACAGTATACTAGCTGTATAGAGGAATAAAAACCACTTGACTTGACTTGTTAAGCATTTAAAATACCATTATGCACGTTCAGTGCTGTAAAAAAAAAAAAAAAAAAAAAAAAAAAGGCCAGCTTGTACCATGCGTGACAGTAGACTTCTCCGATCAATATTGCCATGTTTTCTTTCTTTCTTTTTTATTTATTTATTTATTTTATTTTTTTTTACAGTTATTGGTTTGAATGGGTCCCTGGAGGACTAGAGGTTAGGCCTCAGTACTCTAACCACTGTGGCCCTGGTTTGATTCCTGGCAGGGAACCATAAGACAGTGCACTCCCAGTGCCGGTCCCAAGCCCGGATAAAATTGAGGAGGGTTGCGTCAGGAAGCGCATCCTGCGTAAAAACTGTACCACATCAAAATATGCGGACCAACGATCCGCTGTGGAGACTCCTAACTGGAGCAGTTGAAAGAAGAAGAGCAACAATAGTTATGCAATGTTGGGGAATTCTTATATGTATTCTTGAGGCTCGAATACCACTCCTGGTATTTCTCTTTTGTTCACATACATGTGAATATATTCTATTTTTCGTTCTGTGATTATTTCTATGTAGTAGTATGTAGATAATTTCTATGTAAATGGTTGTATGGGTGCTGGATTCCTGGCTGCATGTGGGGTTGTGTTAATTATGTGAATGCATCATTATTGTAAATATTTGTTTCTCTGATGCTTTTCTTAGCCTTGAGTCATTTAAAATGTGCCAGAGATAAACTCGTTTTGGTAAGCATTGTGAGTATCCATGGCTTCATGATACTGCATAGCCTGAATCACAATAAACCATGAATGTGCACTAGCTTATCTCCTCCATGTGATTAATTTGCTGCTTGAGGTTATTTTATTTAATGATACTATATGTGCATAAATAACGTGATTGAAGGTGGGGGGAGTGAATTTTAAATCAGGCCACTTTTCGTAATAGTGGTTCACATTCTGGCAGCTTTTAATAAAATATCTGCTCGGAGGAGGAACTCAGGTCTCTGTGGCACCCCATGGTCCATGAAGGTGAGGAAAAAATGATGTGGACTACCAACATTTAACAAGGAGGCACCTCTACTCACGCTCATACTACTCTCGTATTACTATGTATTTGTTATAGCCACGGCAGAGTGTGTGCATGTTTTGAGGGCAAAACTACAGGTAGACTGCATTTCTGTGAATCTTAAGTCAGAAATCACCAAATGTTTGTTTAAGTCATTATATGTTGCGGTTGCAGCAGGTCACAATCTCTGCGCAATTAGCCACTGTGTCTCCTGGAATTTGAATTTAATTGGTTTCTTTTTTTGCCATCATTTGCTGTCTTGCTACTGATTTTGAGTCTTTATTTTCTTTTTTTAAATTGATGATGGGGTTTCTGCTATGCTACAGTATTTCAGTTGTACTAAGGACCCATGTATAGGACTTCACGTGTATAATATCAGTATGGTTTTTTTCTCATTCACTGTGTCATACTGTACATCTAGTCTATGTTCATGGTAGCCTTAAAGTGTTTTCAGTGGTTTACATTATAAGAATCTATCTTGGATCCAACAAGTAATTTATTGCAATGACTGTTAATGCTACATGGACTGGTTTATGTGCCACACCACCATCTGCTCATGTGAAAAGTAAACCTTGTATTGTTACATTAAACATATTGTATCATTGTCTTAAAACAGCTTCTTGTTTCAATTATTTTTGAGTACATGTTTGAGATCTATCTAAATTGGTGTGACATAGTATGTTTTCACAATTGGCCTGAATGCTTGATTCTGGGCTCATTAGCCCTATGGAAGTGGCTAACTTTTGTAAACTCGTGTAAAAATAATTCATTCATTCAATTTCAATGACCATTTTATCCTGGTCAGGGTCACAGTAGATCTGGAGCCTATCCCAGGAACACTGGTCACATGGTGGGAATACGCCTATCCATCATAAAGCACTATGGACGCGCACACACACGCACACACACATACACTTTTCACACTCATTCAAACCTAGGAGCAATTTAGCATAGCCAGTCCACCTACTGACCACTACTTGTTTGGAGGTAGGAGAAGAACCCCGAAGAAACCCATGCAGACAAATGGAAACATGAAAATCCACACCGACAGTAACCTGAGCTAAGACCTGATGCACCACCATGCCACCATATTGATGTATCATTCAGTTAATTATCATTTTTTTACTTAGGCTCAGTACAGCACTTTGGATAAAGTCTTTCGGTCAAAGTGGCTTACAAGTAGTTTATGAAGAAATGATTTTGTTCGTCACTTGAGTTCTATCTGATCACCTATTTGCTAGAAGGCCTTCTGTTTCATCTGCAGACAACAACACACCATTCTGCAACATTGTGAAACTTGAAATAGGAAGTAATGTGACCGATCACAAGTTCAGACGATTGCATTACTCACTGCCCAGCCACAGGTGTGGAACAATTTCTCACATGGTGCAATTTACTGTTTTTATGGTGGACCAGAGATTGTTTCTTGGACCTCACCAGAGGTCAAAAGCTGTTTTCACACATGAACAAATGTGCAAGTTTAAAAATATCCTTAGCCTGGTGACCTATAATACTGCCCCCTAGTGTTCACAGGTCCAATAAAAGACTCAATAATTTCATTTCCAGTTTACATTCTAAGCACTTGATGTTTCATTTAAAATATGTTTACTCTAAATTAAAGCAAGTTGGATTAGATGATCTTATCTTACATAACCATTAAAAACTCAGCCTGAACTGCATTTGAACATTCACTTACTGCCTAAAATTGCTCAAATGAACATCTGTAATATCTTAATTTCTCTTTCAAAACAACATGAGCCATCTTAGAGAATCAGACCACATCCTGCAGCTCCCATCTGGCTCTCAGACAGGAACAGAACAAGTTAAGATGAAGTGAGAAGTCAGTCAGTTTGCCTCCCATGGCAGAGCCTTCACATCATCTTTTAATGAAGGTGCCTAATCTTTAGTATTTGGAGAGAGGGTGGACAGAACCCATGAGACAGGTATCAGAGGCATCAAAGGGAAAGAGGAAGCAGTCAGACAGATTTCAGCTGCTGTAAAGAATATAGGAAATGCTCACGGTCTATTTTGTTTACTCGCGCATGTGTCTGAGCTCGCTTGTAATCATATCTTGAAGAAACGTGAATATACAAAAATATAAATTCAGATGAAGGTAAAGAAAAAAGAAGCAACTATAATTACATAAATGTGAACATCATCATAACTGGCACCAGGAATTTTTTTTTCTTTTTTTCTCTTACTATTTTCTACTATTTTAGAATAATAATGAATACATTAATACTATGAAATAATACATACATGCACCAACCAAGAAAGGTCTTATAAGACTAAGGAATAACACTTGATGTGCAGTGGTGTTATAGGAGAATAATCAAGCATTTCATTCCTAGTATACCACTGCATTCTGCTTACATTTTTTACTTTGTCATTCATATTATCATACATTTTAACCATTCATAGTCACATTTAATGTTGTGGAACATCCCTGAAATAAGTTAGTTCCTGTTATCAATTAATAGGTTACAGCCTTACCTCTAATTGATACAAAGGGCTGACACCGGAGACTCCATACATAAATCTCCCATAAATGCATAAATCTCTATACAGAAAACATTTCCATACAGAAAACATCTCCAAAACAGAAAACTTAGTAGGCATAGATTACGTGGAGTGTCCACCATACCAGTCCCTGTGAATTAGCTGTTACTATAGAACGAGTGCATAAAATTTGAATAGAGCATTTTCAGAGCTGCCGTTATATATAATTAATCAGCACCTTCTGACCAATTAGATCTGAGAATTCCACTGCGCTAATACAAAACTGCTTGTTAATCAGGAATAAATTTATACATGCCCATTAAATTCACTATTTACATTTGTCTTAGAAACAAATATCAAATTATCTTTAAGATAATGATTATAGACTCTATGGCCAAAAGTATGCGGACACCTGACCATCAAACCCAAACATGCTTGTTGAACATCTGATTCCAGATTTAATCTCCCTTTGCTGTTATAATAACCTCCACTCTACTGAGAAGGCTTTCCACTAGATTTTGGTTGCACTTATTGGGTTGGAGGCATGTCAGAGTGCCTTTAAGTGATACACCAATTAATCAGGGCATCTGTTTGGACACCTAGATAGAATCAGGCAGCTACTTTCTCCTTCCAGTGGATTGTGCTGTTTGATGATGCCTTGGGGATAGAAGGTGAAAACAGTTTGTGGTGTGTGGAGGGTCTTCATTGTCACCACAAATAACTGGCACTGTAGCATGACAGAGGAAAGACATATAACGGAATGAAAATGTTTTTTCATTCCTCTTGCATTAATTTTCATTGGTCAAATTTTATGCATTATCCTTCATTGTAAATATACTTTTTCAAATATGTTACCTTATTCATAAGTAATTAAAGAATTAGTGATGACCTAAAATTGCACAATGGTGATATAATGCACTCCTTTAGCTAAATTACCTAAAATTGCACAATGGTGATATAACGCTCTCCTTTAGCTAAATGACTCTTTTCTGGCTGAAAGGAAAAAGTCCTCTTTCCAGCCCTCTGGGCTGATGTGTCTTAACCCCTCTCAGTGAACGTCTGCTGGGGATCAAAATGGCATTTTAGGAGATTTTGCCATTTATAGAGTTCCCCTTTGATCGCTAACTGCTGCATTTGTGACATTTTAACTCATTTTTTCTTCACTTATTGCATTTTTGCAGGTAACATAGCCTTCTGGACATGAACACTTTATCAAGTACAATTGCAATTGGGGATTACAGTCTCAGGTTGTCATCTAAGAAGGCCACTGGTGTCTGGAGGCTATAGTTTGTGCTCAGAACAAATAGAAATGCTAACATATCCAGAGGCCTTTCCCCTCCTGGTTTATCTCCATTGCATGTATGAGCAGGCACAATTCAAAATCTGTGAAAATCTTCTGTTATCTCATGTTAATAACTTTTCTGTATACACAGGATTAAGAACATTACTGGCAGTAGTGGATTAATTTGGAAAATAGACCTTAAAACTTAAGGTAAAACGTAAGATAATTATGGACTGCATGGGAAAACTGCTTAAAAATAGAGCGTAATTTGTGAAAATGTACACTTCTCTGCTTTTGTACATCAATTCAAGCCCTTTCTATGTGTGTGGGGGTGTAGGTGTGAAAGTATAGAAAACAAGAATTAAACAGTAAGAAAAGATATTTATAGTCCATAGCTGTTGCTTTTACAATCAAGACATCTAAATACCTGTTAGTAGAT